ATTATACCCACCAGCTAAATTAATCAAGAGTGCAAGTACAGCCAAAAGCTCTTTTGGGTGGGGATGTGCTTCAGGCACACATGTGAGGCTGAGTGGGCTTCACCACTCTGCATGACATCACGGCAGTAACACCCGTAAGAAGTACACAGTAGGTGACACAGTCAGTGTGTTACCACATAGAGGGAGCTTTCGTGACCACAGCGTCCTGACAGAGGACTAAAGGCAGCAAAATGACAGAGCAGTTTGGATTTTAATACTGAGAAGAAGAATATTTAAATGGAAAAGTGGTGCTGAGGTGGCACTTAACACTTATGTTTCCTCATACCTCAGCGTATGAATGTTTTGTCTGAATTCTGCTTACTTGTAGAAAACCTTGGCCCTGTCCTCAACTCTCGAAGTTCAGCCTAAAATGGAACTGATCATTTACCACGCGGTGGTCTATGAAATATTAAGTTGAAGAGAGGGCAGGCAGAAAGAAATGCATTTAGAGATATCAGTCATACTCTAAAAGCTTTGATCTTGACCGATTACCTAAACTGCACTGCCTAATTTGACTCTGAGAAGAGTTGTTTTTCATCTTTCCTTCTGCCCTGTTCTTGCCTCCTCTGTTTCCATCCACCCTCATCCTTATTTGTTCTCTGCGCCACCCAGTAAATAACTGGACACATAAAAGCAGACGTATAAGCTGACATATTTAGGAGGTCACCTCTGCATCATGCAGCGATTCTCTAATCTGCACAACTCTAGGACAAAGCTGCAGTGAGATTAAGTAAATAATCTGGTGAGTAAGGACGGCAAATTATTTCCTGAAGCTTTGGAGAGAAAGGGACTCTGGCTGCAAAAAGAGGTTGTTGTATCCATGGCAACCAGACACTTATCCATGAAGACTGTGCCAGTGTCTTTTTTCAGTCTCTCCACCTTTTCTACCTCTGTGTTGTCCTGCCATCTGCTTTATTCAGTTCTCCATTCACACACTTGTAGAAATAACCAGGAAAACAATTATTCACACATGTTTTCCCCAGAGAGTTAAAAAACTTTTAGTGCAGGAAACACAGAGGCCTGTGTGTTTTACATCCACATACACACTGTTTATCAGCTATGTGAGAGTCTACTCAGCTGCTGGCCAATACTCTCACTGATATGGCACGTTATCAAGACACTGTATGTGCTATCAACTGTGACATTTATATTTTGATATATGCATAGAGATGTATGCATGTGTGTGCGCATGCCTGTCAGCTCCAGCTTTTTGATTGCTGGTTGGACGGAGGTGGGGGAGGGTGCTCGGGCTCACAGCAGTGACAAAGCAAAAAACGTGTCGCACAGGACAAGCTGTACTCCATCTTTACGGGTCGGCTGGAAGTGAGAGCATTTCTCTTTTCCTTATAATCTCCTGTAAGCTGATTGTGAACACTGTGAAATGAACCAAAATTCAGAAAGCAGACGTGCTTCACTACTTGTGTTGGTTTGCAAATGTAATAACAGACTTTCTAAGCCCCGTCTTGTTTCTATGTTATCTTCCAAGCAATGCTAAAATATCAAGGTTACCAGCTTTCGAGGCTACAAGGCTTCCACCTAACACTGCCAAACTGATGTCTGTGCTTTAGTGCAGTGTTTGTGTTTTACTCTACCTGACATCCTCTGTCATAAAAACCTGTCTGCTTAACAATTGGGAATATCTTCTTTCTGATGTTTAACACTAAAACATCTATTTACGTTACTCTGTATATAGACTGTGTCTTTGTGGATTTATGGAGCAGTACAACATCCACTTATCTTTTAGTCAGCTGATTTTTGCCTTTTAAAGTACACTGTTCTAGCAGGCCTCTCAGGAGTGCAACGTCAGGAGTGCTTTATAAGAGAAGTGAGGAAAAGACGCCAAGTATCTACTAGGTAGTAGACAACAAGATGTAATGGAACTAAGAAAGTGGATGGATTATTGATTAGTGTTTGCACATGCGCATGCTCCACTCTACTTATTGGCATTGGATTTATAAGTGGAAGACACTATATTGATAGCTTCTTGAGTAAATTATAGCAGCGGTCTGGCATGCTATGGTAAACTTTATTGCCTTAAAGAAAGTAAATGACTCTGTGCCTGGATGGCAGACTGATGGCTCAGACTGCCCGGCAACAGCGTGTGAGATCCAACTGTAATGACCCAACCTTCTCACAGGATACCTTTGACAGATGGCCGCTGTCATGGCCCGCCCATTCTCATGTAAAAATAAGTCAAATTGATGATACACAGCTGCTTCGCCAGTGGGATGCCGTCGGCTGACTCGGATCATAGGTCAAGAGATTAGGGGTGTTGCAATGCAGAGGGATTTCAGACAAGTTTACTACAAAGTTTCATTCTTCTCAGAAAAACACCAGTATTTTTGATGTAAATGCAGTATTTCAGTGGCTGTGTCATGCCGGAAACCAGCTTCCCACTCACCTTCACCTTGAGTATGTCTGTGTTTGTAAGATTTAGCAGACAGCACTAATGTAGGAGCATCTTTTTAAGGTCTTTGGAGGGACATCTTAGTTTGGCACAGCCTTGACCCCTTCCACCATGGCTGCCATCAGCACTGCCATTTATTGCAATTACTGTTGTAAAAGTAGCAGGTAGCCTGTCTTTGTGTAGTGATATACTGTGTTAATCCCCCCCACACACACACTTACACTCCCCATAGCCATAGTAAGCCACCAGTAAGTACAAGGACAGCAGCAGCAAACTATTCTCCATTGAGCTGACCCCAAGATCTTAACACCTGTACTCTGTCCTCACTATACTTGGATTTATGACCACAGCCAATGATTATTTTTATTGTCTATTATTCATCTAAGTATTTTTGTGATTCATTAATTTGTCTATAAAAAACTATTAATAGATTTTAGGTTCACTATCATAAAGGACATAGAAAAGCAACACTTCCTTACACTTACAAGAATTGTACCAGCTTAACTTAAGTTATATTACCATCGAGGAAAAATTATATTTTATTAATTAAACATTGTTTCGTTTTTATCACCCAGCCCTACACAGGTGGATAAATTATACTTTATTAAGGAGGTTCTAATGATCCCCACACTGAAAATCAGATGGTGACATGTTGAGTTATAGAGGAGGGGCTGTAACTGTAGGGACCCATCCCCATCTGTTACCAGTCAGCCCAGTCTGTATGCTTATCATGTGGTTTAATCACAGGTTGGAGCTTATTATTATTATTATTATTATTATTATATATATATATCATATATTTTACTGTGTCCTTTATTCTGGGACATAAGAAAAGACCAACCTGAGTCCATGGATGTGGTCCACTGAAATAAACTACAGATGACTGTGTTCTGCCACCCTCTTGTTCCCCTTCACGACTCCATATCTATTTTCATTAAGAAATGGCATCGACATACGGTCACACTTGGTTGGAGAAGCCAAGTCCAGCAGAGTAGCAAGCAGTGTTCAGGCAGCCAGAAACCTAACTGGGTTCATCCCCAAATGCCGAGGTATCTCGGGTGCAACAGAAATTACAGACGGACTGGATGTGGAGGGGTTGAAGACGTGCCGGCACATTTCACAGCAGATGATCAGAAACCTGAGTAATGTTACATAGTGTACTGTTTATATAGGGAGCAGACTTTATGTTCCATTTATATATAACATCTCATGAGCAAAACAAGGATGTCACTTAAAATCAGGATATAAGTATACATGTGGTGCACGGGACTTTTACAGATAGGGCACGTCCTTAAGTTTCATCATTCAATTACTTTGTTCCTTTTCTCTTCAGTGATTGTATTGCGACCTGATGAAAACATTTGCTTGATCAGAGAGGGCACTGGCCACCCTTAGCTGCAAGGATGGGTTTTGCTGCCCTCTTTGTTCCTCTTTCACTCTCGTCTTTGCAGCTCCTGGAGTTGTTGCAGTCTAATTTTAGCCAATCTTCCATACAACAGGTGTGCACTTGATATGGTTGCATTTGGATGTTTTCATTTATTAGCAACCGTTGAAACATGACATTAAGCCAATTAGTTATTAGTTTAACATGCACCCAAAGTCCATCAAGCAAAGAGATATTTAAACAGTAGAAATCAACGTCCATGCCTGGGGCTTTGGGCAATAAAACAATATCAATCATTGACGCAATATAATTTTCATCAATAGCAATATAACAAAGGTCAATTATATATTTATATTTAAGCACAGTGAGATCTATCTATGTTAATCTCCCCTGAAATTGTAAAATGTTTTGTTATGCTCTGCTTATTAAGAACAACATAAAACCACCACCCTCCCTCTGGAGCAAAAATTTGTCTTTAAGCTTAACAGAAATAATACAATTTATTGTAATAAATATTGATCTTGACTGATATGAATGTTTTTATCTTGATTTAATTTTTGGCCATATCGCCCACCCCTACCCGAGCCTTCTGAAAAAGATAGTGTGTGAAATAGTCCCATTGTCTATGTTTGTAAAAGACTGTAAGACCCAGTCACAAAGTCTACAGGTTTTTAGTTATCTGCTGCCAAATTCAATCATTTTTATATGCACTGCCAACACACTGTCAAAGCAAACAGAATTTAAATATATCCTGCTGCATTTTTGTCTATCAATCAATCAGGGAAATGTTGTTTAAGATCAGGTAGTTAAGATTTTGAAATATCTTGTTTCTTTGACCTAACACAAGGTTGTGTGTCCCTATTCAAAGAGAATTTCGGATCTCCTGTAGTCAATATTTAATCTGCTACGTGATGACTGTGAGTTAGCTGATGGGGATTGTGAAATTCCACCTGGCATGTATCTTACCACCCTGATTAATGCTCAGCACAATGTGAACTTTTTTTTGCATAAGCCTTATCAGTATTCCCCCTTGTGGTCTGACCTCTTATCATTAAACTATATTAACTCAGGGGTTTGTATGTTTTGATTTTTCTACAGTAGATTTATGGTGGTGCTTCCATCCTGAATAGTGACTGAAGTATTTCTCTGCATTGTGTTCGTTTCTGACAGGGTGAAGAGGGGCCTCCCAGTCTGGAGTACATCAAGGCCAAGGACCTGTTCCCCCAGAAGGAGCTGGTGAAGGAGGATGACAGCCTACAGGTGAGATGAAGTGTACCCTAGATCCGTGTGTGCCATCAGTGCATTCCTCTGAAACACCTTCATGCAGCTTTGTTGAATGTGGTAATGCTTTGTGACTGCCAAGGTATTACTGCAAGAGTCATGGCAGTTGGCAGGATTGAGGCCAGACTCTGAAGGAGAGATAATAACATTGGCCTAGAGGAGAAAAATGTTCTCATCATTTTTGCTCTATCAGTATTCGACATTGGAAAAAGTTAATTTGCAAGTTGGTGGAGTTTAACATTCTACCCCAACTCTGCACAGACAAGGCATCATACATGAAACAAATTGTCGTCAGTATTATTTAGCAAATAGATTGTGAATTAGTCTCCTACATTGGAAACATCATATTTATACAAAGCCTTATCACAACCAGAGGGAAGGTTTTGAAAGCAGGAATTTGAAAATGATGAAGGTGTGATTCACGCCTTCCTGTAGTGATCTGCATCTTCACATGTGTGAAACTGACAGGAAAATGAAAAGCTGCTGTAGCATGCAGTTTTTCATTTTCAAATGACAACCCAGAGTCTTTACATTATTCCCTAGTAGATGAACTGATACACTTCTACAAAAATATTAAATCACTATATGCTTGATTTGTAAACATACATGCATTTACTTCAAACAACAAGCTACATTAGCTGAACATGAACACCAACAACCATACAACACTACTAGTGGCTCTGTTGTATGTTGAACCCCCTTTTTTTTTTACAACTTCTTTGATGAATATTGTGTCTCTCAGGGTGGCCACAGGCCCATAAAAAGTCTTAAATTGTCTTGAATTCAGTTGGATGGTCTTCATTCTTTTAGGCATATCACCAGGAAATGTCTCTACTCTGCAAGACTGAAAAAACGAGAAGTATTAGTTTCTGTATGCGCTGTATGTCATCTGTGTCATGTTTTAAGATAAGCCTGCTAGCTAGTTTCTGAGCATTGGGAAATTTAAGTTTAACAATAATTGGCTTGAGGATGAGGAGTACTTGTGGTGGTGAGAGCAAACTGCACTGGTTCAAAAGTATGTCAAATTTACATTGGCAGTGGAATCTAATGGACATGCATGCAGTTTTCATTTTTGGTGTTTTTCTATTGCAAATTTGGTCTATAGTTTAACTTGTTTATAGCTGTAGACTCCCTAGTTTTTATTTGCATGTTATATAAAATGTCAGATTGTCAGGGCATTTAAGATCAGCAAGGATCATTTTAGTTGATAGGTTTGTTTCAGATAGAGAACTATGGGAAAATACACTGTCCCTACTCAAATAGCAGAGTCACAGCAACAGATAAAGTACAGGGCAGATGAAAAGCATTTTGGTCAGTGAAGTGAGACGGATTGTAAGTCTATTCCACGGTGAAGACGCCGGTAGCAAAATGTGCTACCTGGTCTGTGGCCTCCATGGTGTTGAGTTTGTACTCTGGCTGTCTGCTGGTTAATGGAGCTGAGCATCATGTGTCTGGAGAGAACTGGACAAAGGAAAGGTTGGGGGGGGTTGCCCAGCCTGAGGTCACTATCCTTTGTTTCTTCTTTTGTGGTTTTCATTCTAAGCCTGTTTCCGTTTGGGTTGCAACGACCTTAAAGAGTGTACCAACCTGTTCAAAGGCTTTTATGTCTATTATGATTAGTTTTGTGTGTCAACGGTCATGGTAGATTTCTTAATATCCTGAGAAGCAGCATCAGAAGACTGGGAGGGATCTGTAACACGATGTCCAACAAACTCAATGATCTTAAGGAGCCCAAAGGCGAAGCTATTTCGACTAAATACTTTTTTGTTCTCGTTGTAGTCACCATGCTACATCTTCTGTCTCTGCTCACTTCTACTTCCCCACCCCCTGCATTCACACACGCACACATTGTGTCTCTGCTTTTGTGTTTTTTTCTTTGTGCGATCCCATGATAGTTTTACTGACAGCTGATGTTTCTTACCAGAGCTTTCCTGCAGGCAAGTTACCCCCCCTCCCCCCTGTGTGCGTGCAAGCCGTGGTGCATGCTCAGAGTTGTGTATGAATTTGCACATGTGCATGTCCTCACAGAGAGGCTGCTTGAACCGGAAGTCACGACTCACAAGTGAGTGTTATTCATGTGTCTTTCAGCTCCCCTCCCCTCCCCTCCCCTTTACCCTATAATGCTGCCGCTGAAGGCTTCACAGGAGAAACGTGACACAGTATCTTCTGCTGCACTTGCTGGCTGCCGGTGATTCATGCACCTACTTTTGGAGCACAGCTTGTTTAATGCAGCTCCCAGTCTGTACAGCATGTTAACTATGGCAGTCTCAGCAGGACGTGTTCGGTCTGTTCCACAGCAAAGCACCACGCATGCTCAGTGGTTCGCATATTCTTATTGCAGCCATTCCTGCTGCTGTTAAGGCTTTTTTACTTTTTCAAAAAGTAGGAAACTAGTTTCCCTATTTTCTTCTCCTTTGCCATATTGAAACAATATCTCCACAGCTTCAGAGTTTTCAGGTTTGCTCTTGCACCTGTCGATTTGAAGTTGATTGAGTTACAGCTGTTGCATTTTAAATATTCCACTTTTATAAAGTCCTAGCACACGGTGCCAGAGGGGTTGGTATTTGGCTTTGATGGTGTTTGAGTGCAGATACTACGTGCCCCATTTCCCAGCTTAAGCTGTACTCTTTCTCTGATTGTGCTTCCTGTCCGGGCTCACGCACACATTCTCAGTCCGAGATGAGCAACAGCAGTTGCAGTGACAAATTTCAACCTTTTTTTTTTTTCTTTCCATAAGCTCTCTGGACCAGGAGGCATCAATAATCTAATGTACTGACAGCTTTTGACCTCCTGCCAATCACCAATATAGCATTTAAATTAAAAAATGTAATAGTTTTGTTTTATTTTATTTATTTGATCCTCTTTATCACAAGTGGTAAAAAGTAAGCTAACAGTGTTGATGATGACTTTATGGGTCTGTCAGTCTCATCCGGCTTGTGTTCTCTGTGCACTAACAAAGTCTGTGCTTTTAACCATGCTGGCTAATGTTGTTTCAAGTGAGCCTGATTCCCTGGCATCTCACCATAATCCCCCATCTGCCTGGCTGCATGGCCTCTTTTAACATGCACCAGTGGGTCCTCCTCTGCGTGACTCAGCAATGCATGCTAATGTAGGATGAGGTAATATTGTCTCTAAGCAACATTGTTGTCCTCACTAACTAAACAACTTGAGCTGGGTCGCACTGCGTGGTCCCCAGTGATAATGATCATGGTTAAGCAGCAGTGACTAAGAGAAACTCAAGTGTGAAGAGGTCACCTAAGTAAGGAATGAATGTGCATATCACAATTCAACGTTTTTTTAAATGGGGAAAAAGTGATGTTGGAGTGATAATATATAATCTACTAACCAAGCCTCGACATTATATTTTAAAGATGGTGTTGGTAATCCTAGAAAAGATAGCATGAGCACTTTGGAAAAATGCAATCAATACACCCCACCACCTCCCATCGGCCCTCTCGTCTCCCATCTTCTCTGCTTCAGAGGTGTATGTCTCTTCAACTTGTGAAGACTCCGGTCCTGCACAGTGAGAGCACAGGCAGGTGGGTAGGTTAGTGATGGACAGGTACGCCAAGCAATCATTTTATCAATCTATTTATTGTATTTATTACCATTGTGTGAGCATCACAGACCCAGAATCTTTGGCTATTGGGATGTGAAGAGGATTTCAACAAATAAGATAAAAAAGTGTTTTAAAAAACAAATTTACCTTTTAATCTTCCTGATTAGCAGCATTCATAAAATCTCAAAGCTCACTGAATCCATCACTTTGAAATCAGTTGAAAATGTAATTACACTTGTCAGTACAATAACTTTTACCAGAGGGCATCTCTTCCATGTGGTCGGCTTTTAAATATAATGTCCTGTCTCAGAATTAACAGAAATATGTGTTCTTTTAACCTCTCTTGGGAACCAATTATCTTAATGCAGGAGTCTTCTTGCAGCCAAAGCCTGGGCCCATAATAAAAATGGGAGTAAGAATGTTAATGGACAGTTTGGGATCCCTCCGTGTACCGTCAGCACTGGTGGAGACAGTCTCCCTCCCAGTCCTGGCTGCCTCTTGTCTGCCTGCTCATTCAGGCTCACCAACAAACCCTTTGCACTCACAATGGTCCTTCTGTAAAACTACGATGTGCTAATTGGACATCGACACATGCACACAATTTCTCATGTTCCCCCCTTTTTATCATTTCTCTAATGGCACAACAGTCATTATGCTTAGTGCTGGTCTGGGTATTGTTTGAAAATGTTTTATGCTGTTGCCAGTGTGATACTTGAGTTTCAATAACATCACCAGAATGGTTCCACAAAAACTTTTTTTTCTATTGAAAAGACTCTTTAGTCCAAAAATTGATCCATGCTTAATTTTGTCTTCCTACAAAGCAGCTGTACTGGTCCTTGTCTAAGTGAAATGCAGTCTCAAATCATTGTTATTTCAAATAAAAACAATTATTATCTAAGTAAACATTAAGAATTACCTTATCGAGCATCCAGATGCTAATCTGTGGACTAGTTTAAATTGTTTTTTTTAGCTCTACCAGCAGTGCTGCTGAAAGGGTTCTAATGACATCCAGTGTGGTCAGTCCAACAGTGAGTTTGTTGGTCCACAACTATTCATGGTGCCTTTTGTGATCCCCTGACCTTTCCTCTAGTGCTATTGGTACATAGATGATATTCATAGTTCTATAATGATTAATCCTCCTGCCTATGGTGATCCCTGACTTTTTCTAGCATCTCAGTGAGTTTGAGATTTGGTTGCCTCAACAGATTTTAGATTGATTGTCATGACGTTTGGTCCAAACATTCTCGCTTATGATTATACTTGCTGAACCCTAACATGTGTGCAGAGAATCACATTCAGAATTGGTCCGAGAAACATACAGCCACATTCTCTTCTGTGTGAAATCAAATGCATCCTTGGCCACATATGCAGGACCGCCTACTCAGCTGACATCTCTGACCCCGCTATAGTTTCAATGTGTTTCTTAAAACAAGAGTGTGCTTCTGAGTGTCCATACGTTGATTTGTTTGTAGCCACCACCACAATATCAACACTAATCACCACATAATGACTGATACTTTTCTTGAATTGGTAAAATCTTACCTCATAGCTGTGCATATTCATCCATTCAGTCCCTCATGGCTCCGCTCATTCCATTCTCTCTCTCTCTGTCCCTCGCTCACGCTGAGACACTGACCCACACAAACATTGTCAGCGGACTCACCTGTGTAAAAAAAAAAAAGCTGCTGGTGCAGAATTAACTTTTTAATACAATAAAACAAAATGTTGTTTTGTGTCTCTACAGGTGCCATTCCCAGTTCTTCAGGGGGAAGGGGTGGAATATCTCGGCCGTGCTGATGAAGCCATCATTGCCATTTCTAACTACAGGCTCCACATCAAGTTCAAGGACTCTGTCATCAATGTGAGTGCAAGTCAAAGACAATAAACCTGCAGGGGTAGCACACAGTTTTTACTTCGGTCCAGGTGGCAAGTGTCACTACTGCTGCCATGTCTCATCACCACAGAAGCCAACAGCAAGCGAGAGGAGGTTTTAATGTTTAGTTTGGAGGCTTTTTCCCTTTTCACCATATCATTTTGAATAAACACAAGCTACTGCAAGCAAGGCGAATGAACCTAAAAGTGTCTTAAATGAAGTACCCCAGCACAGTTGCCATAAAGTTGTTTGTACCACGATAATACCTCAGGAGTATATGCATTCTGATCTTTAGGCAGGAGAGGTTTAATGTAACATCGAGGCTCCAAAGACCCACCCCCCGCTGGCACTCATGTCCACCAGCTCGCTCCTGCTGACGTCAGGCCTTGCTCAAAGACAAACAGGCCAATTGTTTGCATTCACTGGCAGAGAAATCCCCCCTCCCTTCCAAATCCCTGCCATTTATTCCAGAAGCTGAATCCTTGTGGAAAAGCTGACATAGGTTTGATGAGGAGGAGAAGACAGACAATTTACCTTGAGTTACTTTATCAGAGAAGAGTTTGATTAATGCATTGAGTTCAGGCGGCCCACCTAAAACCAGCTCCTTCCTAGGCAGAGACCGTCCTTGACCCCAGCTGCACAGAATGAACTCTGTATGAATGCCAACAGGCCACAACCTCTCACCCAGAACCCCCCACCCAACCCCTTCACAACTCATCCCTTACTTCTAAGCTATTTTCATGCCCTTTGCTCCTGTTCATGTTTGTCTTTCTCTCCGTGATTTCCATTTGGTTTGGTCATGTGCTGCAAGTAGCTCACTGCGTGATCCTCCCGGTTATCTTTCATTCTCTTTGATGTTTTTCTTTCATTTTTAACTCTTCATTTCCCTTGTCTCCCAAGTGTTTTGTTTTAATAGTTTTTCCATTTCCTTCTGTCTTTTGTCTTCCCTCCCTCCTTTCCCTCTCTGTTTGTGTGTATGTGTGGTCCATGGTGTCATTGTGTTTTAGACCTACCCAGGTGTGGACAATGAGATATCTGTGAGTACCATATGATAAAACACCACCCTCTGCAACCGTCTAGACAGCTTAGTCATTCTGCTCTTCTATCCACACGATTACAGTGCACTAAGGACAAATTGTAATTTACATTCAACTGAGTAGTTACACTGGACTTATTACAATCATTTTCCATGAAAGCTCCTGGTAAATGATTGGAGTGCAGAATGTTGGCTGACCTTGAGACATAAAAAAACAGACAATATTTTCAGCCATATGACGTCAAATAGTTATTATTTTCTCATTCATATAGGATGCACATTGGCACCTTGATGCTTAAAGGTTCAGTGTGTTGGATTTAGTGGCACCTTGTGATGAAGTTGCATGTTACAAACAACCAAATACCCTTCGTCCAGCCAACCTTTTCCAAGCATGTAGCAGAACCTATGGTCGCCCCTCGGTAACATGTAAACGTAAAAAACCTATCTAGAGCCAGTGTTTGGTTTGTCCTTTCTGAGCTACCGTAGAGAGCGACAGTGCATCATAGCGGCTTCTGGAATAGGACTAGCTCCCAATGTAGATATAAATGAGAATCCAATGTAATAAAAATACAACAATTCTTAGTTTCTGCTTATTATTCACCAATGAAAACATAATTACCAATATATTAATTCAGATTTCTGCTGATAGATCTCTCTAAATCCCACACACTGGACCTTGTAAAGTTGTAAACATTAGTCAGAAGGTTAAGCTGCATGGGTGATTCTGTAAATCTGGACAGTGCTTTCATTAAAACATCAGTCCACAAAGAGTAGCGGAGTAGATGATCCCTGTCTCCTTCATTCCGCTTTTTGAAATGTCCTTGGGCAAGATCCTGAACCCTAAATTGCCCCTGATGGCTGTGCCACCATTGTGACTGGAATAGAAAAGCATTATATGACTATATAGAAGCATAGAAGTGCTGTATGAATGTGTTTGTGAATGTGACTCAGTACTGAAAGTGGTCTTTAAGACTACAAAAGTAGCTCATTTACTATTGACAAACATGTGAACAATGCCAGGTCTGTGACTGTTGCTTGGCATCATAACCGAGATCTAGACACACGGTTACAATACTGTTCCTTTTCTCTTCTGCAGTGGGATTAAAGCTGTGCCATGTGTATCTAACCTATATTCAGTCTGTACTAGACCAGAGGGTGGTAACCTCTTTGCAGATGTGCTGACTGCTCTGACAGTGGGCCATTAGGCTGATCCACACGTGTTCTCTGTCTCCCCCTACAGGTGCCTCTCAGGCTGATAGAGGGTGTGGAGAGCAGAGATATGTTCCAGCTGCACATCATCTGCAAAGACTCCAAAGTTGTCAGGTGAGGAGAGCAGCTGACCGTCTCACACCATATTAACCCTTCATGCAAATGTATTTCAATGCTGTGGTTCTCTTTTTAATAAATAGTGCAATAGTGTAACTTTGTCTTCCCTTAAAGAGGCAAATTAAATCATACACAACATTTAACCAACAATCAATATTTTATTTTCAATATCAACATTTACATAACAACTCTAATAGTTATAAAATAGGACGCAATGAACATAATTCCAGTGGTTTTCAGCTAAATAACTGTTCCTAGAAAAACAGACAAAGACCTGCTTTAATTTCACAGAGTGAAAAGGTCAAACCAAGTGGAGCCTTCAGTCTTTCAGCATCAGATGTGCCGGCGGGGTCTTGGTTCCTTATCATTAAACAGCCACAATATTTCCCCTGTTTAAAGCCTGTAAAATCACAAATTTTAAGAAGAAAGTAGTTTTTCTTAAGTTTTTCAGCCAAAGCATTGAGTTGTCACTTTATTATTCTAATCTTCATACTGGGTTCTCCACAGATGTCACTTTGCAACATTCAAGCAGTGCCAGGAGTGGGTCAAGCGTCTGAACCGGGCCATAGCTCACCCGTCCCGGCTGGAGGACCTGTTTGCCCTGGCCTACCATGCATGGTGTCTAGGGGGCAGCGCTGACGATGAGGACCAGCACGTTCATCTCTGTCGCCCGGGTACACAAAACAATCCAACCGATATTGACACAAAAGTTTAAAACAGTTGCAGTTCTGGCCTTGTGTAGTTTATTAAACTATTAACATTCCTGAAATAATCTACTCCCTCCATTCTCTATGTGTGTCTGTGTGCAGGTGATCATGTGCGTCAGAGAATGGAAATAGAGGTCAAGAGGATGGGCTTCGACACACAGAACATCTGGAGAGTGTCAGACATAAACTGCAACTTCAAGTATGTCACAGATACGTCACCTATAAATAGCATGACACTTCTCTCTTTGCAGGTAGCTACAAAATACAGTAAGGTGCCATGATGGTTATTTGGAAAATGAATGGTGAGTTACGAGTAGAGTGTGAGAGTGGGCCCAGAATCAGGCAGGACTGGATCCATAATGTTGCCAAACTGACAGATTGTGTAAGACAGAGCTTCTGTCTGTATTGGCACATCTCATCATTGTCTTAGATTATTCTGTTGAGAAATGGCACATTTGAATTTGTGCAGTATTGCAGTTACATTTGAAAAAGATTACAGAGAAAAACAGTTATAACTCCAGATCTTGCTGAGAAATGTCAGGTTTGTCAGTTTTCTTCATCATCATAGTAATTCACTGATGATGGTTTGTACATCCATGGGTACAGTGCAAACGTGATCAACTAACAGCTAGTTCAACATACTTGTACTAATTGTTCTAATTTGCCTAAAACATAAACAAATATAGACCAAAGAAAGGGGCTCTTAGAACTGTAGTACCAAAACATACAATCTATTCATATCAGCTTTTTTCATATTGCACTTTCAGTATATGTTTGTCAGTAGCACAGATGGGGGTCCTGGGTGCAGTTGTCTCTAGTCCGCTGTCACACTTTTAGACCCTTGGTGTAGATTATGAGCAGTGAGGTTAGGTTCCAGTGGTTACCCTGAGTTGCAGCAAAATAATTGTTAAGATGTATCATGACACCCAGAAAAAGATCTTAAACCACTTCTGCAGCATAATCCTCTTTTCTGCCAATAATCCATATGTGGATTATGTTCTAGACAATGTTCACTTTACTGATAAAGGACAAAACACTACCCCTATGTCACACAATTGCCTCCTCAGAGCGGAAGCTCTGCATGATGTATCTTAATTTGTAATTTATTGGTGAGTCTAGGCTTGTGTGGAATACAGAAGTGATCTGAGAAGTTTCCACGGATATTTTGACACATTATGGACATATTTCTGAAGTCTGGGTTTCCAATGGAATCCATTGTAACTGTTGAAAACTCAAACTGACTACAGCTGACTTGCTCCTTAAATCACATTAGTAGGTGAATATTTATTTCCCAAAAGACACATTTATATCAGACTGTTCCTTTAAATATCCTCAACAAAACAAGTTAATGTGTACACTTGCCTTTGTCTCATCTCAAAAAAGAAACACTTTCACCAAGCCAAGTCTTCAACAAACACACACACACAAATAAATAACAGTGTGGCTCACACTCAAGCAGAGATAATGCAGTTTATTCTGTGTGTGCATGTTGCAGACATTTGCATCTCCCTTCCTGTCTGGGCAAATAAATGCTATGAAAAAAAAAAGGTCAGTCTGCCCGGAGGGCCCAGGAGAGCACATCCTGCTGAGGGAGACAAACTCACAGGACAACTGCCTAATTAAACAAGCCGCAGCCTGCTGAGGCTCGTGACTCAGCACAGTATTTTACTTTCTCTCTCTCTCACACACACACACACACACACACACACACACACACACGTGTTTGTACTACTGTCTTAGTGAGGACACTCATTGGCAAAATGCTTTCCCTAGCAGTGTCAGGTGAAAATGAAAATGGTCCTCACAAAGGTTTAAGTGCAGGAACACACGCACACACACATAAACAAAGGTGTGTCAGTCAGCAGGTGAATAGAATTTAAATCAAGCATCATGAGAGAGGAATTGTTCTCTACTGGCCCTGACAGTTAGTGATGCAGCAATCATCCTGAAAACCACAATATTTGTCTCTGATGTGTGTTTGCTGAATATCATAACACTCCAACAGACTGTATAATGCAGGATTATAACCTCCACATCATGTCCCTTGTTCCTGTCCACAGGCTGTGCTCCAGCTACCCACAGAAGCTTCTGGTTCCCATATGGATCACAGACAAAGAGCTGGAGAGTGTGGCCTCCTTCAGATCCTGGAAGAGGATCCCTGTGGTCGTCTATAGGTAGGTTTACACACACACACACACACATACACACCAGGGTTTTTCCTGGCCTGTCTCACAGGGCAGACACCCAGGGAGCCATGCACTGCTCCATTAAGTCTTGCCTCTACATCCTTTAATTCCAGGCACCAGAAGAATGGGGCTGTGATCGCCCGTTGCAGCCAGCCTGAGATCAGCTGGTGGGGCTGGAGAAACACGGATGATGAGTACCTGGTGACGTCCATTGCCAAAGCCTGTCAGATGGATGCCGGAGCCAAGGGTACCTGTGGAGCACCAGCCTGCCGACAACGTGGGGAAGCTCCTGACTCCTCGGATAGTGATTTTGGTAAAACTATAGTTTTATTTGTGGATGTTGACTCATGTATGTGGCCACTGTTGGACAATTTTGGCTTGTTAATTGCAGTCAGCTTGCTACTTACGCAGGCTGCTGTGACTGAGGAGGTAGATCAGGCCTTTCACTCATAAGAAGTTCGATGATTTGATCCCCGGCTGTGCCAGTCCACATGTCAGTGTCCTTGGGCACGATGCTGAACCTCAAATTGCCCCTGACAACTGTTCTGTCTGTTTGAAAGCTAATCGCTTACACATAGCAACAACGTGGTTGTTTCATCAGGAGGAGATACTGATATTCAGCAGTTTATGTTAATCATATCCCTGGCACTTCTTTGATTCCCCCTCTCACATTTCACACATTGTTTCTCTTCCAATGTTTAGCCATTCAGTTCAAACTAAACCATCCTCTCCTAACAATAAAAACGTCTCTGTGTCTCCAGACTCTTCTCTGACAGGTGGCTCTGGCTGCGATGACAACACTGTGCCACAGAAGCTACTGATTCTGGATGCTCGCTCATACACTGCTGCAGTGGCTAACAGAGCCAAGGGTGGAGGCTGTGAATGTGAAGGTTAGTGTGATCGAACTTTCAGACAGCCCTCAACAACTTATTTCTATATATAGATTATCATTATCACATCGCTAATAATGTTAATCAATCAATAACATATTTATTTATGTAGCCCGTATTCACAAATCACAGTTTGTCTCATAGGGCTTAATAGGGTGCAACATCCCCTGCCCTTAACCTTAATCAAAAGTAATATGTTTCTTAAACCTTAGCAGCAGACAGATGTTTTCTGCAGAGTTACTGTGTTAAACCCACTGCACAATATCTTCCTAGTCCAAATGACAGACAGACAAATGTCACAACTAGCTGTTGAAAAAAGTTCAACGTTCAGCTGGATGTTTAACTTTTTTTGGGTGTCCAACTTCCAATAGTTGACAGCTAAGGTCTTTTTTATAAGGATGTATATGATTATTATGACTATGATTTTTGCATCTGACTGAGGTAATACCTCCATCAGAACACAAGGCTAACATAACTTACTGACATTATTTATGTCTGATGACCTTTAGCGGAGTTATTGATGTTTGTTTGTGTTCAGAATACTACCCCAACTGCGAGGTGATGTTTATGGGAATGGCCAACATCCACGCCATTCGCAACAGCTTCCAGGCTCTGAGGACTGTGTGCAGTCAGATTCCGGATCCGGCAAAGTAAGTCGATCTGTTTGACCTTTCTGTCTGAGCGGCTCCGTGCCCCCCCATTTTAATAGCTCTTCCTCACAGCAGTGCAACACCACACAGAGGTTTACCTAATGTATATAGATTTGTCCTCATCTAATCTGTCCCATCTATCGCTTCCAGCTGGCTTTCAGCACTCGAGAGCACCCGCTGGCTGCAGCACCTGTCTGTCATGTTAAAGGCAGCCACCCTGGTGTGTTCAGCAGTGGAGAGGGACGGCCGTCCTGTCCTGGTGCACTGCTCGGACGGGTGGGACCGCACACCCCAAATAATAGCCCTTGCCAAGGTCCTGCTGGACCCCTACTACAGAACATTAGAGGTTAGCGTCTGCACAGAGTTTTAAGTATATTTGCTCCGGATTAAATGTAAATACATTGTTTTAAAGGTAGAATAAAAGCTGTAATTGTATTACCCTCAATACTGACTAGCATGTCATCCCCAGGGTTTCCAGGTGCTTGTAGAGACTGAGTGGCTCGACTATGGCCATAAGTTCGGGGACCGCTGTGGCCACCAGGAGAATGCTGATGATGTGAGCGAGCAGTGTCCCGTCTTCCTGCAGTGGCTGGACTGTGTTCACCAGCTGCTCAAACAGTTCCCCTGCCTGTTTGAGTTCAATGAGGCCTTCCTGGTGGGTGGTCATACTGCACTTGTTACTTCTCCCTGTCTCTGTGAAGTTTTTTCTTGTGACTAATTCACCAGTAAACTCTGAAGTGTCCGACATATTGCTGGACATAACATGAAACCATGCTAAAAGTTAAGTAGTTATTTTACCAGTTAACATTGCATTGAGTCTGTGCTTTGAAAATGCTCCTGCCAAAAATAATTTAGATCTAATGCTGCTGTTTTATATATATCGTTCAGGTCAATAAGTTGTTGCATTGATTCGGGAATTGAGTGTTATAAATCGCCTGACTTCATGTTCCACCTACCACCTCCTGTGTGTCCAGGTCAAGTTGGTGCAGCACACATACTCGTGTCTTTACGGCACATTTCTGTGTAACAATGCTCGCGAGAGGGAGGCGAGGAACATCTACAAACGCACCTGCTCTGTGTGGTCACTGCTTCGCACAGGAAACAAGAACTTCCAGAACTTCCTCTACATCCCCAGTCATGATATGGTACCTAAGAGTTTTACAGTATTACTTATGGCTTTGTAGTAGACCCACCACTTAAACACAGGGATAACTGGAGGTCGGCTCCTACTGTTAGTGATGAGAAGATGATTTGTTGAAAGGAATAGTTGCATTTTCAAGCTATAACATGAATTGTTGGAAGTATCTCTAGCCCTGCTTCTTTTAGATCCTGAGCAGAATAAGTGGCACGATTAATGATTAATTGATAGCGTGACAATGTGACTACTATTTTAACTTTAACTGTGTTTTAGATCAAGATCTCAGATTAAATCGTTCCCACTTCCTCAGTCACACTGTCAAAGAAAGAATCAACGTGATTATAACACACCACACACAGCAGTGGAATAACAGCATGACTGAGTAACGAGCATCATCCTGTCTCCATGTTGACCTTCTGAGATAGTCCTCATCACTTATTTGTCTGCCAGGTGCTGCAGCCAGTCTGCCACACTCGAGCATTACAGCTGTGGACAGCTGTTTACCTGCCCACGTCCTCCCCTTGCACAGCTGTGGATGATTCTATGGAGCTCTACCTCCCCCCAAATGTCACAGGAGATGAACTCACCTCCCGTTCCCTGGACAGGTATGTTGTTTTTTCCGTTCTTGATGGTCTTTGTGCAGAGATTTATAGCAATTTTTCAGACTGCTCTTGGTTCCAATTGCGAAATTGTATAATTTTCTTTGGTGCAAATGGAAAAACTTAAAATCTCCATATATGTTTCATTACCAGACTTCCCAAGACCCGCTCCATGGACAACCTGCTAACAGCTTTTGAGAATGGGGTACCCCTGACACGCACATCCAGTGACCCCAATCTCAACCAGCACTGCCAGGAGGGTCGCTCTGCCCTGGAGCCTTCGCCTGCTATGGAAGAAACCTCTGCAGACTCTGACGAGGTCATACCTGACACTGGACCGGACACTGCTGAGGTGGAACCTCTACATCAAAGTCCTACCAAGACCCAGGAGGATGTTCTAGGTGCAGAGAGCTGTGAGGAGGAGACTGTGGAAGAGCCCTGTCTGACCACACAGCCCCTGCCCTCTCTGCCCCTCCCCCCTGTCCCTCTCAGGAAGCAGGTCACACTAGCTCACACTCTGCTCCCCACACCTGTCGTCCAGCAGGCTTTGACTCAGATCGCAAACCCTCCACTCCCACCATCTCTGCCGGAGGCTGAGAGCCCCCATAGGACTGCTGAGAGCGCCACTTCACCCACTCATAAATCAGAGCCGTGCTTACCTCTTCCCTGCAACGGCACTCAACCTGCATTGTCCACACCCACCTTGCTGCTTAACGGTCACATTGACAGTCAGGCAAATGGCCTCCCAGAATCTGCAGGCCTGCTTGCTCTGAAGCAGCTAACACCACTCCTTCCCATGGAAGACTCCACCGAAACCCTCACAGATGAGGGAGAGCTTCCCCCCACCCCACCCCCCACAGTGAGCGAGGATCTCATTGAGAATTTTAACAGTGAGGAGCAGCCTGAGTCACAGCCCCAGGCTCAACCACAGAAGGAGAAGGAGGACACGAGGACAGATGTTGTGAAAGGACGAGAGCATGTGCTAACAGTTGCAGCAGCTCCTGTGGACTGCACTCAGGTTGCAGCTCGCCATCTGATCTCCCAGAGCCAGCTCTCAGACTTGTCACTGCTCGGCTCTCACTGGGAAAGCGTTCGAGGTCTTGTCCAGTCTGCCTGCAGCAGTGCCAGTCACTCTGGTGTCAGCCGGGCCTTACAGCCCAATTCTTACCAGAGCCGCCGCCTTGCTAGCAAACTACTCCGCTCCCAGGGATTTGCTATCGCTAATGGATCCCAGTGCTGCCGCAGGGAGGCTCTTGGTTGTCCCAGCAGCAACACGCAGCCTGGATGGCTGTCTGCAGCCAGGACTGCAGGCTACATCGGCTTGTATGGGCCTGCTGCCGCCGCCGCTGCCCTCAACAGCTATGCCCTAGCAGGCCATCAGCTTCTACCAGTGCCCCACACTTCACCCTCTGCTTCCAGCTCCCCTCCGCCACCTCAGGCCCCAGCTTACCTCGATGATGACGGGCTGCCGGTGCCAATGGATGCCGTCCAACAGAGGCTGCGGCAAATCGAGGCAGGTTACAAGCAGGAGGTGGAGGTGCTGCGACAGCAGGTGCGACAGCTGCAGATGAAGCTGGAGAGTAAACAGTACGGCACCCCTCCCTCAGAGCCAGACATTGACTACGAGGATGACATTGTGAGTCGTTTGTTCAGTGATGACATTATTGTCTGGCAGCCGATACATTTTTTTTCTGTCTGAAATATTTACATTATATCTCCAGAAGTGTCCTCTATTTTAATAATCGTATCCATCTTCTGATCTCCCCCTGGTCTCTTTGTTTCAGACGTGTCTGCGGGAGTCCGACAACAGCAACGAGGAGGATTCTTTGTCTACCCACAGTGAGGATCGTCTGTCTGAGGGCAGCTGGGATCGAGTGGAGCCCAGGGACACAGAGGTCAGTGTCCTTTAGAGGCTCAATGTCACTCTGATATAGACTCTACTCCCTCACCGTCTTTCCTCCTCCTCACCTGTACGGCTTTGAGCACCCCGTATTGCCACACACTATTCTGATAGATTTGTGTGTCTGTGTGTGTAGGTCACGAGGTGGGTGCCTGACCACATGGCCTCCCATTGTTTCAACTGTGACTGTGAGTTCTGGATTGCCAAGAGACGTCACCACTGCAGGTGGGGCTCCACTGTGGTTTCCTTACATGAATAAATACACCACACTCTGAATGGAAAACATTATATCTTATTCTGCTGTGACCACTAACATGATGACTGTGCAACCAATCCACTGAGACTTCTCATGTCAGTATTCTTCCTCAGGTAGAATTGATGAGCTTTTCTCTCTTGAAAGATGTTTTTGGATTTGGAATATTTTATATATATAAGGGGATGAATTAGGGTAATGTGGGACATCTAAGCTCCAGTCTGTTTATTTTCTGGTTTAACTAAATCTAGTCAACAGGACTTTTTCTACACGTTAGCATGGATATCATGTGACTGAAATCACGTGACTTCATGGGGCGGGGCAAATGCTTCTCCTTGGAATTGCATGACAAGGTCAATGAAAGGATTCTGACAAGATTAATGTTAAGGATATAAATCTGTCGTAAATTAGATACTTGCAAATTGTAATCAAACAAATGTATTCAAGCAACAAAATATGCATTGAGTAGTTTTCTTTTGTCCCCCTTATAATGTGGTTTGGGTTTAGGTAATCTGGGACAGTCAATTAAAGGGATAGTTCACAGAAAAATCTACTCACCACTAGCAGATGGCGAAGCCAATACAAAGGAAGTTACTGGTGACCTCTTCTTCAGATGTAAAAAAACAACATGCCTCAGCAAGCCCCAACACTCATATTCAACTCGCCTTAATGTTCTCTGATATCCTCCTCTGGAGCCGTGTTCACACGAGGATCACAGCGGACAATGTTGTAATAATACATTATTCTTGAAATCTCAAGATTGTGTTTTCTTAAAAATGGCCCTAATATTCTACTACTCTAGAACTTTTAATTAGTTAGATAACGGTTATTTATATATATGTTTAGCAACAAATAACAGGTCAAAAGTTGTCCAAATCCATTTCTTTGACGAAAGTGTGAGAGAATCAAGAATCATTCATGAATCTGTAACCAGCACAATTTTAAAAATCAAATCCTTTTGAGTGTCAAATTTTTCAGTACATTTTTTTTCTATCAGCCGACTAATATCCTCTCATTCATTGACTTACTTTGATTAGAATTTGTGTTTAAAATTAGCGTTGTTTTCTGTTATATAAAGACTCTCAGACTGACTAAACATTGCTGGTAATAAACACAGCAGAGACAGTTTATTGGTGCAGTTGTATACTCTGTAAGTCGTCCAGTCTCTTCATCAAATGATCTAAACTTTCTGTGTCCTCTGTTCTACAGGAACTGTGGCAATGTGTTCTGTAAAGACTGTTGTCATCTGAAGCTGCCCATCCCAGACCAGCAGCTGTACGACCCAGTGCTGGTCTGCAACACCTGCCACGACCTGCTCCTGGAGGCCCGCACCCGCGAGATCCGCAGCCAGCAGCTCAAGAAGGCCATCGCCACAGCCTCCAGCTGAGAGACGCGTCGTGTAGCGTGGCCTGCCTCGCCTCTGTCCTGCTCGCTTTGGATGGATGAGCCGAGAGCCCCGTTGTAAACCTGCCGTGGGTTTTGGGGGTGAATATGAGGAGGAATTGTTACTGTTTGGGACGCTCGGTTTGCACTGTTAGACTGTCTGAGCGGAGGTGACGAGGAACGGGAAGGTCTAAGATGGAGTCGTGAGTGCAGGAGGAGGGTTTTCCTCCAGAACCACCCCTTTCTGTTCAAAGACATTTCCAGCCTGGAGCGCTGCAGCGTCCTGCTGTCCGAGGCCCACCCACCTTTAGTACCAAACACCTGCACCCTCCTGACAGACACCGTCTCGCGCTTCAGAGGACAATCGCTCACCCTTCCATGTGACGGGGACTCCAAAGCCTTCACCAGTACTATTATCGGAGGCTAAATTCAAAAAGAAAAGAATTGCTGCTACAGTGTTTAAAAGTCTAATTTTGTATTCTTATTTTGTGCACTACTAGCTGTCATGTATTTGAGGGAATTTGAGACCAAACTTGAGCAAAAGGGAGAAATCTGCTGTTTACTTTGCCACCGCATCTTTATTTTTGTTTGTTTTTCTTAGAGCCTGAATGTAATATGTAATGGATAACTGGATCGACTTTATGTTCTTGTGTATTTGGTGGGTTGTATATGTGTTCATTGCTGCAATGTGTTCTCAAAATTATGTATATGCACAGTCAATGTGGTTCTGTCTTTTATCAATGCTTTTCTCCAGTATAGCCATTATGCGACATTCGATGCTCTGGGGTTGGGGGGGGTTATTGTACGTATGGACAGATGCAATGCTGCGTGTTGTTTGTTTTGCGGGACGTGTGCTTGATAAGTGGAAAGGAGGAGAATATAATGATGCTGGAAGACTGCAGATGTCTCGAGTCTGCTGATGTGAGAAAAAGAAGTGAAGTTAAGGTAGCGCTGGTTTTCTTTGACGTGATGGAGAGAATCTTTTCTGCTGAGATGCTTGAGAACGACTGGTTCAACATCCGTATAAAGCTTGATGTCCATCTGACTGATGACTCCTCAGACTGCTCGCTAACTGGCAGTAAGGACTGCTCGGGGAAAAGACTGAACAAAGTGCTTGGATTTTCTCTTTCTGAGAGTTTGGCCACAGTCCTCTCTAAAAAAAATGTGTTTGTCTACTGGTTGTTCCTTGAGACAATGGTGCCATATTTAGTTTTGTCTATTTTCAAAGCCTTTTTCTTTCTTCTGGATGGCAGCAGGTTTCCAATTGGCCAACTCCGTTTGTTTAACGGTACAGATAGTCATCTGTTCAATAACACTGAGGCAACTAAACTTTAACAGCTGTTTCAATCTGATAATGAGGCTAACCTTTCAAATGGATGATTGGATGTGAGTGAATTAGTTAAACTCATGTGGTTATCCATCATGTGATCGCTGGGATTTTATCACAAGGTGTTCATGAAGTCAGAATCTTTCAGATGAGCTCAGAAATGTAACATACATAGTTATCTGATCTGTAGTGGTGGCTAAACCCTGTCACTTAATGAATATATTGTTGTAAAGAAATGCACTGTTAAAGTTAAATCCCATGGGTTAAAATAAAAGATTATATCATGCATCTGTTTCTCAGCCTCATCATTTACCTTCGACTCTGGAACGGTAGTCTTTAAAGGGTCTAAGCATGTGGATTATCTAATGTCATTACAATGATGGAGAACAAAGAATAGACCGAAGAGATGAATCAACATTAGCTTGACTCATGAAGCGACCTGGAAAGTTGTGAATAGCCAAGAAAAGAAAACAGATATAGAAAACTAAAAGGAATCTGTTTCTGTGATGTGGATGGAAAGGCTTTCAAAGGTCAATTCAGAATCAGTTTGTCACTTAAGCTGCACTTTGTGTGTCGTCATACAAAGATGAGTCAATGACTTCACTCTGTACTCACATAGTCTCTCTCTCTCTCTCATTTCAGATATCTCTGACCCCGGAACCTCAGGACAACAACTTTTACTATTACTAATTACAGTATCGCAGTAATTCATTATGATATCAAATGTGTCTGTTATCAATAATAATTAATAGTCTTTACACTGTTTTCTTTTTAACTTGTCAGATCTGATTCCTGATGGCGCTCAAGTATGGTGAAACAAACTCCTTGGCGCAGGTTAAAAATAAGAATGTCATCACAGTACAACACAAGATGGACCAGAGGTGAGACAGACAGGATTATAAACCACAGCTTTATTCTTTATTCAAACTCTTAACAGTGCCGGATATCCTGTGTATCCTGTATATTCACTGAAGTATTTCAGGTTTTTTCCACTTTATTCGATTCAATTAACACTGAATGTGTAACTGGTCTTACTATAAGTTAAAGCTAATTTTTTAAATGTATAATGAGAAGCTTTAAATGAAGTATTTGAACACTTGGTCCAGTCCTGGGACACAGATGAAATTAGTCCATTTGTCCACTAGGTGGGGCTGTTTAATCAAAAGAAACACCAGCCATTCCTACAGCAACAAGGCTTAAAGGTACATTGTGTAGAATTTTGTGATATCTGGTGTTGAAATTTCATGTTGCAGCTGGAGTCAGTTGTCATAAAAACTCAAAAGGTGTTTAGTTTGTTCAGTCTGGACTAATGTAAAAAACATGGCGGCCTCAGTAGAGCGGGTCCCCTCGATGTAAATATAAAGTATTTAAATATAAATGGTCTTTTCTGGGGTAAAGAAAACTACACTTCATACAATGTAGATGAAACTAACTTGTGAAAACATCATGAGGATTATTCTACATTCAATTTCTAGTTTATAGTTCCCTTTCACCTAAATCTTACACACTGGACCTTAAAGCACTTTGAGCCAATCAAATCAAGAGATTGTTGCATAATTTCCCTGCTGTGGAATATTTAATGTACAGTATCCTTGTTTTCTGGTAAAGTTCCTAAAGTCATTTCCTCTCTGTAAACAGTGGTGACTCTGACTCGGGCACATATATGGGGCGGAAGTCAAACCCACAGTTATACAATATGTAATTTACATGTTTTTCACTAATATACCCCCCCCCCCCAAAAGAAAACAAATACCACACACACACACACACAGTCACACATGTTCTGTATGGACACAAGAACTTTAACACATCATCATGCTCAGCTGCAGTTTCTCAGAGTCGCTGATTGTGTGGTCAGAGTTTTTAAAAAGAGCAGAACAAGCTGATTCACATTTTTCGGGGGAAAAAACACTGATGTCTCTCACTCAGCATGATCAATAATTCACTCTGAGGGTTTCCACTCGCTGAATGAAAATGAAGATGACAGCTCCAACTTCTCCAAAAAGTTGAAGAGAGATGTCCAGATTTATTTATTTATTTCATTTTTTATGACTGGACAGGTTTTTCTGGACAAGGTGAATTGAGCTGGAAAAGAAACCTTTTAAAGATGTCACCTGATATCTTATTTTAGATATGACGCTGTGTGCATGTGTGTGCTTGCATGCGTGTGTGGGTGCGTGCATGTCTTTGTGTGTGTGTGTGTGTGTGTGT